CTAATAGGGTTGTTGTCCTCCCCTCCCCCCCCCCCATTCCACATGCTTAGGTTTCTTCCTGTCTCAGAGTGGATCCTCTTTAAGAACCCCCTCCCCTATGGCCTGCTTTCATGATGTGGGAAAGCTGGCTGTCCTGCAACTCTGACAAGTTGCATGTCAGGTTCATGGGAGTTGCATTTTTAAGGTATTAATCAGCATTAGTACATTAAAATGTATGGTGGTGGTTTTTTTAAAAAAAGAACTTTATTGTTCTGCTTGTGTGTTTCCTGTACTATAGCAACCCAGAGGCGTTAAAATGTACACAGCCAGTTTTGGTGGTTTATGAGGAAATGATTTCGCTCTGCAGCCCCACCTAGCAAGAGAGGCCTTGCTGCAGCCTTGCCTACTCGACTCCAGGGCTCCCATCTCCCAATAACTGTGGCTGCATCGCACTAGTCAGTTAGGGGAAGCAACTGTAATTTTTCTTGCCAGAGAGCATGCTTTGGATGCAGAAGGCCCCAGGCTAGGTCCCTGCCTCTCAAAAGGAAGAGTAGAAGATATCCAGGCTTTTAGATTTGTGGCATCAACCTTTTTTAGGATTCCCTCTTGTGAAATATTAGACTGGCTGTTCTTTTCTCAGCTCCTGTTCATAACCTTTCTCTCCCAACAAGCCTTTTAAGTAGAGATCGTTCCCAGTCTGTATCTGTACTGGAATGGGTGTGTGTAGCTTTCCATGTTTCAATTATTTTATTCTTTGCTGCTCCTTTGGTAGTTAGGGCAGGATGTGAGTAAGCAATACTAATGATCACCCATAAAAAAAGAGAGACACCCTTAGCTGCTGCCCGTTAGAGTAGACATCACTGAATTAGATGGGCAAAGAGTGTGACCTGTTCTGAGGCAGCCTCAAGGATGTTGCTCTGTTACCTACAGTATAAAACATATCCCTGCCCACTTCACTCATGCCTGCGTCTCATTGACACATTTTACCCATCACTTGGGAAGACAGGCAAACTAATACCAGTGTACTGGAAGAAGCAAAGATCACCAGTGTTGAAGCAATGATTCTTCAATGCCAACTTCGTTGGACTGGTCATGTTTTGCGGATGCCTGATTATCGTCTTCCGAAGCAACTACTCTATTCCAAACTTCAAAATGGAAAGCGTAATGCTGGTGGTCAACAAAATAGGTTTAAAGACAATTTTTTAAAAATGCAGTATAAACACCAACAATTGGGAAGCACTTGCCTGCGAGCGCTCCAGTTGGAGAACAGCCTTTACCAAAGGTGTCATGGGCTTTGAAGACTCAGGACACAAGGGAGAAAGGTGCTAAGAGGAAGGCATGCTTGGCAAATCCACACCGTAATCAATTCCTGCCTGGAAACCAATGTCCCCGCTGTGGAAGGACGTGTGGATCCAGAATTTGCCTCCACAGTCACTTACGGACTCATTGTTAAAACCGTGCTTAGGGAAGACAATCTTACTTGGCTACGAGTGATTGCCAAAGAAGAAGAAAACATCTCCCTGCCCACTTCATTCACTCCTGCGTCTCATTGACAGCGGGTAGGAGACCCTACCATAAATGAGTATGCCAGGCTGGAAGTGGGAGCCTTGCAGTGTTGGGTAACAACTAAACAATGAGAGTGTGCGGTAGGAATGTCCTTTGATACTTCTTTTTATAGCCTGCGTTGTATTGACACCTGAAACTGGCTGGGTGGGGACACACCTGAGCTGCTACTGTTCCTGCTTCGTTCTGGATCTTTTCAAAAGGAGTGAGAACAGAGAGCATTCTTTTCCTCTGTGAACACACAGAGAGAATAATTTCCTTAACTCTGGTGGGTAGGGTAGCTGCTTCAGGCAGCTGTCACCCAAATGTTTATATCCTGCTTTTTCTCTGCCGTTAAACTCAAAAGGGGTGGGTTTAAAGGAGGCTCCCAGGGGTCTCCCACTGGCCAAATTCAAATCCGTGTAGCTTCTGCCAGTGGCTGCCTCATGTACCCTCTGACCTTGGCACTTCATTGGTCTGTTCTGATGGGTCATTTCTGAAGCACACAAGAGGAAGTTGCCGCACATAGGAGGTTGCTGTATACTGAGTGAGGCCATCTAGCTCAGCATTATCGACAACTGACTGGCGGGTGCTCTCTGGAGTTTTAGCAGCACTGGATTAACCATTAAGCAAAAGAAGCATGTGCTTAGGGCATCAAGGGAAGAGGGGCACCATAGACATTTTCCATTGCTGGATTTACCATGGACCATATGCTGCAGCTGAAAAAGAGGCTCCAACTATAAATGAAAATAATAATAATAATGTGTTCCCTCGTAAGTCAAACGAAATCTGTTTTGGAAGTCCATTTGACTTCCAAAACATTTAGAAAGCAAGGCACAGCTTCCAATTGGCTGCACAAAGCTCCTCCAGCCAATCAGAAGACCCAGATGTTGTGTCAGACATTCGGGTTCCAAAGAATGTTTGCAAACTGGAACACTCACTTCTGGGTTTGTGGCGTTCAGGGGCCAAAACGTTCCATTCGCAAGTCGTTCGACTTCCAAGGTACGATTGTATACAGTAATGATATATATTAATTTTGGGGATACAGCAACGAAATGAGAATCTGGTATCTGGTAACTGCCACTTGGTCCACCAAGGCTCATGTGTTTGTATTTTAAATTAGACAGATAGGGGCACCAAATACTTTTTAAGTGCTTAGGGCAGCTAAAGGTCTTAATCCAGCCCTGGGTTTTAGGCAGGGTCTAACCCAGCCCTGGGACGTGGGTGGCGCTGTGGGTTAAACCACAGAGCCTAGGACTTGCCGATTAGAAGGTCAGCGGTTCTAATCCCCGCGATGGAGTGAGTTCCTGTTGCTTGGTCCCAGCTCCTGCCAACCTAGCAGTTTGAAAGAACGTCAAAGTGCAAGTAGATAAATAGGTATCGCTCCGGCGGGAAGGTAAACGGCGTTTCCGTGCGCTGCTCTGGTTCACCAGAAGCGGCTTAGTCATGCTGGCCACATGACCCAGAAGCTGTACGCTGGCTCCCTCGGCCAATAAAGCAAGATGAGCACTGCAACCCCAGAGTCGGGCACGACTGGACCTAATGGTCAGGGGTCCCTTTACCTTTACCTTATCCCAGCCCTATCTGGAAGTGGCAGGGATTGAAACTGGAACCTTCTACATGCGAAGCAAGTGTCCTGCCACTACCCTTTTAGGGATCACACGCACACAAGCACAGCCAGTGTTGAAAATCAACACAGTCTGACACCCTTTTGATTACATGGCTAGCAGGTTAGCTGGATAACCATTCAGCACAGCTATTTGCCTCTTCATGCACACACAGAGATCAATTTAACTGACCTCGGCCAAGGCATGATGTGTTCATGCAGAGCAAATTGTTCCAGGCGCCTTGAACAAGCAAGAACCATCACATGCTATAGCAGACCAAAACAAAAAAGATAATACAGTAAAAGTCTATAAATGCAAATGGAAGTTTATTGCCTAGGTTTCGGGAAACACCTGTAAAGCAGCTTGAGCCAACGAGGACTATACAAAGCTACCAGAAACCTAAGTGAATTTACCTCAAAAGTTACGAGCGAGTTCAGCAAAATATGGGTTACCAGAGAGAAATACTAAATAGGAGCTTCCATTAAGCGTAAATATAAGAAACGAGATTACATAGTTACCCCAGACATGTTATATAGACTATGCTCATTGGAAAAGGGTCCTAAACTTCTGCCCTTCTCTGCAAAAATGCATTGGACAGCCAACGCTTCCTTTAGAACCCAGAGAGTTCCCCTTCCCCTTTGCTCCGCCCAACTTGACTTTGTGCCACTCCCCCAAATCAGGGTTGCCTTCAATGTTAAAACCAGACAAAACTGAAAAGCCTTTCCCCCTCAAATTTTTTTTATTTTATTTACAAAAGTATTTTTTATATATACTACCAAAACAAAACTTCAGGGTGGTGTATAACAAGAAAACAAATGAAAGTAGCTAGCTGGGGTTGGGGAATTAAACAACGGCATAGGTCTGTTGCTGTGAAAGTCTTAGACATGCCTGAAAGTCAAAAGTGAGGGTGCCTGACCAGTCTCTGCTGGAAGCACAGCATGGGACCAGTGGCATGAAATACCCAATACAGTACTTCTAGTAGAAACCAAGCAGGGATCTGTAATGCAGGGAACAATTACCAGTATTCCTCCAGCTGATTTTCTCTTTCCATGGCTCATTTTGCATATTGTAAATCCCTGCATATTTTACAAAAACTAAACCATTCAATATTCCATTATTACATCCATCAAAACTTATTTACACTGTTGAATTTATCTTAATGCTGCCAACCTTTTCAAGTGTACATAATTTCCCCCCACATATTCAATAAACATTTGCCAGTCTTCTCTAAATGTGTGTTCTTCTTTTGCTCTTATTCTGTATGTTAAATCTGCAAGCTGCGCATATTCCGTCAGCTTAAGTTGCCATTCTTCTTTAGTTGGGACCTTGCTCGTTTTCCATTTTGGGGCTAACAAAACACTGGCCACATTAGTGGCATACATAAATAACCTTTTTGACACCTGGGAATTTCCATCTGAATTCTCCCCAACGAAAAGGACTTTGGTTGTTTTGGAAAAGTACTTTAAAACATTTTTTTCAATTCATTATGGATTATTTCCCAGTACTCTTTTACCCTTTTGCAGGTCCACCAAAAATAAAAGGTCCTTAAGCTGTCTTGGACCCAAGTTGTTAAGGGCTCTGTACGTTGACATAAGAGCCTTGAACCATCTGAATTGATGGGCGTTCAACAAACTCTGTAGATCTGTCATGTATAATGAGCACATATGCAGGCATTTTAGTGCATAGACACGTGCAAGAAAAATGACCACAGCTTCTCACCAGGCACGTACAATGCCTGCAAGCACGTTTTGAAGCATGCCCTCATTTCCCTCTTCCTCCAACCAGCTGCCTCCAGAAAGAGCCCTGCCATTTTTTCCCCCTAGCAAAAGTTTTGTTTCAAATACAGGTTGGTGTGTGTGTTCCTGAGGGTTTAAAAAAAAAAGGCACCTGGTGAGTGACTGCTACCTGCCCAGGTATGCAAGGGGTGTGGTTCAGCTGACAGGCTCGCTCTCATAGGGACTGGTAAGTCTCAAGCCACATCGGTAGTTTCTACTTGCCATGTCAGATGCCACCAGCTGGGTGCCCAAAGCAGAGATGGTTGAGAACTGAAGACAAGGACTGTTGCGTACAAGGTAAGTCTAAAAGTATGGTGGGAGCTTGCGGGGGGGGGGGGGGACAAGCAGGGAGCCTGGACTTCGTGGGGATGGAGCCTAGTTAGTTGGTTGCACCAAGGGAACTTGGTCCTCAACTCTCTGGTGTAGAAAAAAAAAAAGGCCTTGCTCAGCAGAGCAAGAAAGTTGGCTTTCTTCTGGCAGGGTAGATTTTTCTGAGAAGGGCAACATTTTGGACAAACAGAAGCACTTGATTTACAGCAGGGACTGTGCTGTGGCTCCTAAAATGAGAACCCTTTTACTTGGAAGAAACTCAGATATGGGTTTAAGGTGGATCTTATCAGTTGCCAAAAAGAGATCACATTGTTTTTTCTGTTGAGAGGGGGCTGGAAAGTAAGGGGGGGGGGTCTCTTTCAAAGCATCCAGAACTTAAGTTGTGTTCATTGTGTTTCTTAGTAATTGACTAGAATACTGACCGGGCACTTATATTTCCACAAATTAAAAGGGTAGAGTCTTTGTTTTTAATTGAATGTCGAACATCGCAGGCAGACCCTGGAATACCTGCAAGGGGCCAGGCCCCCGGAGCGCTGGTTGTGTCATTGATCCTTCCCACCCACAAAAAAGCTTCCACATGTAGTTATAGTTTTAAAGAAAGATTGAGCAGAGATAGGCCTGCACATGCCAGTTTTTTCTCTTAACGGTATTCTGCGTGTGTCAGTCACATTTTCCCACTGCCGCCACAATCCCCTCGAGGGTGCCTGTTCTACTTCTTTTTCCTCAGTGTTGGCTTAATCTCTTTTTACACAATTTCTTGCCGTGAGATCCAGGAAGCTCTATCCCAGGGAGCGGCTATTTTGAGGCTTTTTGGTTCTGAATAGGAAGATTCCAGATTTGTGTGGAACAGAAAAGAGATATGTTGTTTAAAAAAAACACCAAGTGTGTGTTTTTGTGTGGTGATATCTCATGTAGTAACGAGAGAACCTCTAAACATACGCAGAAATACTTTCCTTGCCAAAGCATCAAAAGCTAGTCCTACATTTCTTGATTGCAGCTAAGTCATATTCAGAGTAGACCCACTGAAATCTTAGTCATCATAACTGACTTTTGTCCATTGGTCTAAATCATGGGTAAGCAAACTAAGCCCCGGGGGCCGGATCCGGCCCAATCACCTTCTAAATCCGGCCCACGGATAGTCCAGGAATCAGCGTGTTTTTACATGAGTAGAATGTGTGCTTTTATTTAAAAGCCATCTCTGGGTTATTTGTGGGGCACAGGAATTCGTTCATTATTATTATTTTTCCAGAATATAGTCCGGGCCCCCACAAGGTCTGAGGGACAGTGGACTGCTGAAAAAGTTTGCTGACCCCTAGTCTAAGTGTTCTCATTAGGGGTTCATAATTGCTTCAGCACACATATGCCCCTCTTTTGTTAAAGGCTTTGACAGCAAACATGGGCAAGGATTAAACCTGAAAATATTTGGGTATCTGATCCATTTATTTCATTTTTACAGTTATATCCTACCTTTTTGTCCAAGGACAGTGTTACTTGGCTTCTTTTAGGCAAATTTTCTCTATTAAATCCTTGGCTTTATTGGTATATTTCCCAGAATGGTTGCTGCATCTTTGACTTAGTTTCTTTATGGCTGCCTACCCTCCAATATATCAGATGAGAAGATGTCCATTTTTGTAAGCCTCCTACTCTCGCATCAAGGATCACTGCCTAATCCTCACCACCACCAGAACAGCACAATGCACAATTTATACATTGCTGAGAGTTTGTGACCACAGCAGTGACAAACTGTAGAATGGGCTTTGTTCCCTATGCGGAAGCTTATTATTCAAGTGCATGTAGCATCTCTAGCAGAGACAAGAAGGGGGAAAGCCACAGAAAAGTGGTAGAACATCTGCTTTGCATGCAGAAGGTTGCAGGTTCAATCTCTGGCATCTTTAGGTAGGCCTGTCAAAAACCCTGGAAAGCCACAGCTATTCAGTATAGACAGTACAGAGCTAGATGGAGCAATGGTTTGGTTTGTTATAATTCAGCTTCCTATATTCCTGTGATAAACTTGGACCAAATGCCGCATGACATTATTCCGACTTTTAAAAAGTGCCTTAAATTGGCTGCATTAATTTCAAAGAACAAGTTGCTGTGGGGCCCCACTCTGGAATATGCTCTAATGCCTCATTCCCCCCCCCCACTGTTTGCCTCCAAAGGTGCTGTTTTTACTGCCAAAGCCCTGGAGCTGGGGCTGAGCCTGATAAATGACAACTCGAGCAATTTGCACTAGCAACATACTAATTAGGCATCCCCCAAAGGCAAAAGAGAGAGAGAGAGATTTACCATAACAGAGAGAAGAACCAGGAAACAGGGGCTGCCCCCATTTTGGGGGAATATGCTATTTCTTGCAAACAGCCTTGTTTGTGCCCTTTTGCATCAAAAAGCAGGATGTATAGACGTTTTGGAAATGAAAGAAATGTGTAAGAAGAGGAAAAGTGGGGCTAACACGTAGATAGTGTATACTTTCTCCACAGTCTAGACAGGTTGTGGAGCTCTCACCTGCCTACAATTCATACCCTCTCTCAGAGGTGAGGGCGAAAACGCATTACGCATGCTTAGAGGTGCGCCTATATTTTGTCGCTTCATTTCACACATCCAGGATTAGGCAGCGGCTTTCAAAACAGATTACCGAATTCAGAGTTACGCTTTGGGTATAGTAATCAGATACAGCAGCGTCATCTAGCAGTTGGCTAAAATGACCCAGAAATCATGGGGCCCTGAGCAAAGAATTTTCACCTTGTGCAAGGCAGACAGAAAATCAACAGGTGCAGTTTCTTTGTGAATGGAGGCGCAACACTAGGGAAATCTTGGATTTCTGCCTCTTGGGTTCTAAAAGGGCAGAAACCCTGCAAAAATTAAAAAGGGATACACCACCTTCTTGAAACCCACCTAATTTGGATGTGGGTGGGCAGGTAATGTTTTGGGGGGAAAGCGGTGACATATAAGCAGTAATCCTTTTTCCTTTCTGGCCTAAACCCAAATACACAGTCCAACTGAGTCAATATTGACCATTGTTTCTTCATATCAACCACGGCTGGCGATAGACCTGTGCATAAATGAGCATTGCTTGCAAATCTGTAGCTGGGGTATTTAAGCAAATATCGGGAAGAGAGTATCCTGTTTCTCTCGCCACCACTCGCACTATTAAACACTACGACCTCTGCTTTAACCATTAAGCCGCTTGCTCCTTGTGCGGCTTCTTCTCTGAAAAAGAAGCATGGTTAGACGAGAGCAGGTTGGCTCTGCTCCAAGCATAGAAGGAGGTTAAATCCCACCTTTAATAAACAAAGCACCTTGCCAGGTGAAACGAAACAGGTGTGGCCGTTGGCAAGAGATGCCGCAGCATTCTTGGGCAGGAGTGAGGCCTACTTACTTTTCTTTACCATGTGTGCATGATCGCACACCCTTGTACTGTAAATGATCTGGGGTTTTATTTATTTGCTCACACACACAAAAAACAACCCTATACTGCCCACATGTAGGTACATCATGCCGGTCAGCATAATAAAATCAGAATATAATGAGGTACAGAACACCATTGTGGCAAAGTGGTTAGTGTGTCAGAATCGGAGACCAAGGTTCAAACACCAAGCCCACTGGGTCGCCAATCACAATCTCTTTTAGCCGAACCTGCCTCACAGCGTTGTTTTGAGGATAAAACTGAAAGGCATCCTGGAAGAATACATGTGACGATAAATGAATAAAGAATCGACATCAGATTAGTACAGGGGTCACAAACTTTTTCAGCAGGGGGCCGGTCCACTGTCCCTCAGACCTTGTGGGGGGCCGGACTATATTTTGGGGGAAATTAATGAACGAATTCCTATGCCCCACAAATAACCCAGAGGTGCATTTTAAATAAAAGGACACATTCTACTCATGTAAAAACACACTGATTCCTGGACCGTTCGTGGGCCGGATTTAGAAGGCAATTGGGCCGGATTTGGCCCCCGGCCTTAGTTTGCCTACCCATGGATTAGTACATCAGCACAACTGGGTTTACCTTTTACCCAGCCCCACTCTTTCCAGGCGGCACTTTAATGTCCAAGCATAATGTTATTGGTTTTTTGGGGAGGGGTTACCCCAAATATTCCCCACAAAAATCCGCTCCTTAAAGCTGAATCAGAGCAGGATTGAAATAGTGATTAAAATTAAGCAAATATGTAAATAAATTAAACCATTAGGGCAGTAAAGGCGGGGAAGAGAAGGGAATAATGATCCCTCCCTTCTCTAACATCAGGATTTTCTTCCTTCATCACAGCCGAGACCTTTAAAAAGTTCCTTTTTGAGCCTCCCTCTTACTAAGGCCTGAGGGACGCGGGTGGCGCTGTGGGTAAAAGCCTCAGTGCCTAGGGCTTGCCGATCGAAAGGTCGGTGGTTCGAATCCCTGCGGCGGGGTGCGCTCCCGTTGTTCGGTCCCAGCGCCTGCCAACCTAGCAGTTCGAAAGCACCCCCGGGTGCAAGTAGATAAATAGGGACCGCTTACTGGCGGGAAGGTAAACGGCGTTTCCGTGTGCGGCTCTGGCTCGCCAGAGCAGGGATGTCACGCTGGCCACGTGACCCGGAAGTGTCTCCGGACAGCGCTGGCCCCCCGGCCTCTTGAGTGAGATGGGCGCACAACCCTAGAGTCTGTCAAGACTGGCCTGTACGGGCAGGGGTACCTTTACCTTTACCTTACTAAGGCCCAAAGCCTGACAGTACCCACCTCAGGTGTGAAGGCATGCAAATGTAGCATCAAGGTACCTGAGCCACAATGCAAAGTATTCACCTCTCAACTAGCAATGTCAGCTTGAATTTGCTAGTCATATAATATTGTTTAGGACGCTTCAGCGAAGTGGATTCTAACTGCAAGAACAAGGGAAATGAGTGCAGAGCTCAGGGTACTGTGTGTGTGTGTGTGTTGGGGTCGGGGATATTGATCCCTGAAATCAAATGTCCACTGGGTGTCCGTTGGCAGCTGCCTGGGCCTGCTTAATGAATTCTGAAACCACTCTTCTAGTGGGAGAACAGGCATTTGCCGTTGTTCTTTTTAGCACAGGGGTAGGGAACCTTTTTCATCCCCAAGGCTGTATTTCCTTATAGGCGACCTGCTGAAGGCCACATGCCCAGAGGTAGGCAGGGCCAGAGGCAAAAGTGGGCAGAGGAGTAAAGGCAAATATTACTTTTCTACAGCACTTCCCTCTCCGTCCTCCACCCAGACAAGCCACAGAGTTTTTAGGGACACATCCCAGCCAGGCAAAAACACTCTAGGTGCAAAGCAGGATCGGTGTGAGGAGAGTTCCGAGGGCCAGATAGAGAGTGCTGGAGGGCCACATATGGCCCCTGGGTCTGGGGTTCCCAGTGCTGGATTTACATATAAGCTAAACAAGCTATAGCTTAGGGTCCCACTCTCATGAGGCCCCCAAAAAAATTAAAGGGGGGGGGACTGGATGTGCATTTCCAAAATATAAGATAAAAAACAAATAAAATAAAACCTACATACAGCAACAGTGTTTTGTGTTGTGTAGGCTCCTATGATGTAAGTAATTCTAGCCTGCTCCCTAAAATGTCACTGGTTTGCTCATTTCTGTATATAGGGTGCCTACATTCTGCATGGCCTGGTTGCATGACAACACGTGCAAATGGCTTTAGATCAGTGTTTCCCAACCGGTGTTCCGCGGCACACAAGTGTGCCGCGAGACGTTGCCTGGTGTGCCGTGGGAGGGAGGCGGGCGAGTCGGGCGGCGAGAGGCGAGAGGATCGGGCGCGGCGGAGGCCAGCCCCGCGCTTGGAGAGGACGCAGCAGCCGTCGCCAAACCCGATCCTCCTCCTCCTGCTCCGCCGCCGGCCGATCCTCTCGGCTCTCGGCCGGGAGGAGCCTGCGGCGACGGGGCGGGCGCTGAAGTTGGCGCGCCTCCTCGGCAGCGCCTTCGTCCTCCTCCTCCTGCCTCTGCTCTCCTCCGGCGGCGGGGGCGCGCCGCCGCCGGATCCGCGCGCAGCCTCTCGCCTCTGCCCCTCGCCGCGCCAGCCCAGGCAGTCAGCCAGCCGAGGGCGGGCGCGCTCTCGCTCCTCGCTCGCTCTATCCGTGGCCGCGCCCGGCGCCAGCCCCGCGGGACGACGCTGCGACGGGCGGCCCTGTGTCGCGAGGGGCGGAGCCCAGGGGAAAGGACCGCCCAGCAGGCGCGGCTGAGGCGCGCATGCGTGGCTGGGGGGGTGCGCGCCCTCTGCTCTCTGCCTCTCTCCCCCTCCCCCCTCTGGACCCCGCGCGCGAGGCTCTCCGGGGGCGGGAAAAGGGTTTCCCTCAGGCGGAAGGTCCCGTGGGAGCTGGGAGGGGGGCAGCCGCTGCTCTGGCTCCCCCCCGCCCCGAACCGGCTCTTCCTTTCGGTTCTGGCGGGGAGCGCACTCTCCCCCCCCTTGCGCTCCGCTTTCCCCTCAGAAGAGCCCCCTGCTCCCCGTAATCGAGGGTGATCGTGCCCAGGGGCTCGCCAGACCCCCCTCCGGCCGTCTCTTAGTCCCCACACGATCCCAGGAGCGCGACGTGGAAGTGTGTGGACACCTGCAAAGGTCAGTGATGCTTCTCAAACCGCCAAGAGGCAAAGCCAACGTCCCTCTCACCTGGCCCAGGAGTCCCAGATGCGCCAGTTCTCAACAACAAATGCATAGAACAGGGTGTGCAACCCAAGGGAATCACTATTTTAAGCCATTCCGGGGGGGGGGGGGAGATGCAACCCATTCTTAAATCTTTCCTACTGAAAATGACCTAAAAGTGTTACATTTGGACGGATCGCCCCCATAACTAATGTTGCATCATCTCACTATTTGCAGCAAGCATATACATTCTTTTCCACGGTTAACTTTTGTATACCTCAGAGCACCAAAGTTTATTTCCTAATTGCTTACTGATCTGCTGGTGAAGCAAGTTTTCTCTTGACTCCCCTTTGAACCATCAACATATCCTTTCATTACCTTCTATGCTGTTACTATTTTTTATATTTTTTTTACATAAGTAAAAAGTGACCTTTCCCCATCTGGCATGGTGGTGTGCCTCGAGATTTTTTTCATGAAACAAGTGTGCCTTTGCCCAAAAAAGGTCGGGAAACACTGCTTTAGATACCTGTTAGGTCCATAAATTACCGTATACTATATATTCAACTCAAAAACAGCTACAGTTTGTTGTTGACAGAGGACAGGTGGACATATAAAGGGCCCCATTACCTTCAGTAGCTTAGGGCCTCATCAAACCTAATTCCAGCCCTGGGGGCTCCCCACCCCATAGAGCAACAAAAGCTACTTGCTTTCTCTATGCAGGCTTCTTGTGAAACAGATAACCTTCTCTTTTTTCTTTTTTGAATTTGCATTTTATTTATTTGTTAACATTCTTATATTACATCGGTAAACGTTGTCATATTACATTACAGGACTTACTATAATATAATTTCCAACATGTATACAAAAATTATATACAAATTTTATATACCTAGAAAGAAAATGAAACAAACAAACAAAAAAGAACAAAGAGGAAAAAACCAAAAACAATTCCCCCCTCTAAAATCATATACATACCAACACACTAGACTTCCTGTCTCTCCCGTTGTATATTCCTTTTTTACAAATGAATGTACTCTTATTATTGTATATTTCTTTACATTTTATCTAATACAGTCCTATATCAATATGTGCTCTTAGTCTTATTTCTCAACTCATTCTCACTCCAGCGTCAATCAAATGCTAGCATAGATAGCGAACCTTTACTGTACAGTGGTGCCTCACAAGACGAAATTAATCCGTTCCGCGAGTCTCTTCGTCTTGCGGTTTTTTCGTCTTGCGAAGCACGGCTATTAGCGGCTTAGCGGCTATTAGCAGCTTAGCGGCTATTAACGGTTTAGCGGCTTAGCGGCTTTAAGAAAAAGGAAACAAACTCGCAAGACGTTTCGTCTTGCGAAGCAAGCCCATAGGGAAATTCGTCTTGCGGAACGACTCAAAAAACGGAAAACCCTTTCGTCTAGCGAGTTTTTCGTCTTGCGAGGCATTCGTCTTGCGGGGCACCACTGTATTTTTGAACATAAGTTTTATATCTATCCCACTTTTCCATAAATTTTTGTTTCGAATTGCCTCTCAGGATATTTGTTAACTGCGCCATTTCAGCAAATGCTTGTAGCTTGTGATGCTAGTCTGTTATTGTTGGGGCTTCTTGTTCCTTCCACCCCTTTGCCACCAAAGTTCTCTTCTTATGTTTGCCAGGTTGCATTGGGACTTTCGGACGAGGCCGCTGACATCATGAGCGACTCAGGAAGGTAAGATTGGCTGTCAGAGAACTCCATCCAGCACCTACAGATTTGGGAGCAAGACTACCTAGGGAGGCACTGAAATTCAAGGTGTGCCCAGTTTTATCTGGGATGTAGAGCTTAGGTACAAAGTTCTATGCTTTCCAGAACCTTCCGTGGTGTTCTGGGCACGCACTCACTTTTTGTCCAGAGGGTTGAGAGAGCCCAACCTACATAGAAAAGGTGTTAGGTGCGATCCCTGACATTTCACATCTCCGGGTCGTGCTGGGAAGAAGGCCTAGCGACTAAAACCTTGGAAAGCCACTGCCCTCCACAAAAGGTGGAGACCCTCAGGCCTGGCAAATGCAACCCTCCGAACCTCCCTGTCTGAACCTCAGGATTCTCTCCAGACCTCACACCCTTCCCAGATCTTAAGGCAAGGGTGTCTCCTATGCTTCACCTGCTATTTTTCTAAAAAAATGAGCTGCCACAACTCACCAGGAACACCTCCCTTGTTCTCTTGCCTCTTTCGTTGTGATTTTTGAACTTACTGAGCATTGTCAAGGGACTGCTTAGAAAACAGCCATTGGGGATCATGTGGAGGCCCTGCTGGTATGGCAAGGAAGTCTTGCCATAGTCTTGCCTCTCTTTTCCTTTCACTTCTGGGTTGACAAAAGGGGTTGGTGGCTGTGGGACTAGAGTTGACATGGGCTGCGGCACTAATGGCTGCAAAACCTCTTCAAACAGAAACTGGACTGTTTCAGTATAGCGCCATGGCCTTGTTTGGGAGCTGAAGTAAAATTAAGTGGCACGGATTACTAATATTTCTTTTCCTTGGGTGCACAGTGGGGCTGGATAGGATTTGGACAGGTTCCCCAGCCCTAGAAGATACTGGCCTCCAGGATTCATGGACAGAGGGCAGCCTGAGGGCCTAGCAAGCTTTGAGAAGGATGTATAGTAGTCTGGAAATGTGGACCTGAGGTAATTTCTTCCGGTTGTTGAATAACTAGTCCATTTTGTCTTGCAGCCTCGGCAGTGACCGCTCCAAGCCCAGTGCCAGAGCCATTTATGGTGAGTTTTGGAGTATAGGGATGTATCTGGAAGATTTGTTTGTTTATGAGTGTGCTGGTACGTTTCAAATCTGAAGACCTTCTCAGTCCTGAAGCTGTAGCATCCTCAGCTTTTTCAAGGATTACCAGCTCTCATAAACGGATCTGCTGATGATCTTTACACCTGGAACTCCCTTCCTGATTATGTCACGTGGGATCCCTTTCTTACATCAACACCTTACCTGGGAAGCCTTTGGCCTAACTCTTTGCTCCTCACCCTCAATAACCACATTTGTTTACAATTAATCCCTTGACTCGCTCTCCCCTCTCTTCCTTGGTTGACTTCGCTACCATCAAAATGCAGTTTATTGCTTTATAATCTCCTTGAGTGCAGGCACCTCACTTTTTAAAATGATAATAAAGAACTCGCACAGCTTTGAAAAGTGCTGCAAAAAAAATTATATGGGTGATCTTTTGCAAAATTAGTCTTGCGCATAACTGTTTCTGCAAAGCTTGCAAGATTGGCATGGTTCCCCCTCATGTTCTACTGTGTGCTATGAAACTAAAAGTTTTTTTATTCCAACGTTGGGATCTTGTGTGTGATACCACAATGAACTTCTGCTCCTCTGCTGCAAACTAAACCAGGAAACCTGTCAGTCTTTCAGTTTACATCCTCTCTGTGTTTCTCCCCTTTGACTTGAGGAAGCGCGAACATTTGGTTTTCCTGGGATTTAAAAACCAAGGGTTCTGTGCCGCGCGGGGTGGGGTAAAAGCAGGAATCAGCAGAGAAGCAGTAAGAAGGGAGGAGATGGGTGTGTGTGTATTTCTCACAAGCTAAACTGGTTCCCGCAGGGAGAGGCAGTAATTACATCCCTCTTCTTTAGAAGAGGTAATAATTTCTTAAGAACTGAAAAGCGTTCCTTAGAGAGATAAATCCCTGGATGTTCTTATTAAGAGTTTTAACCTGTGCTAGTCCTAGTCAGAGTACACCCATTGAAATTAGTGAACCTAAGTTAGTCATGTCCGTTAACTTCCATGGGTCTACTCTGAGTCAGATTAGCATTGGATACAACCCATTGTCCTTTAAACTAGGCAAACCCTCACTCATTGCATGTGTGCATGAGCGAGAGATATAGTAATATGTTTAATGTGTGTACATTCAGTCGTACCTTGGAAATCAAACAGAATCTGTTCCGGAAGTCCGTTCGACTTCCAAAACGTTCAGAAACCAAAGCACAGCTTCTGATTGGCTGCAGGAACCTCCTGCAGCCAATTGGAAGCCATGGAAGCCCCGTGGGACGTTCTGCTTCCAAAAATAGTTTGCAAACCAGAACAGTCACTTCCAGGTTTGCGGCATTTGGGAACCAAAACGTTCAAGAACTCAGCTGTTTGAAAACCAAGGTATGACTGTATATACATTTATGCTTATTTCCCGATTTTATGCTGATGTTTCTGTGTCTTGAAGATGACCCTGGCATGCAGCTGTTAAGCATGTGCAATTTCCCCTAGGATGTAAATTAAATGACGTTTTATTTGCTGAATTTTCGACTGTCACGCTACTGTCAGGAGCCCTGCCACAAAGAAGGCAGACCTCATGTGCATTGTGGCTGGGTACACACCATAGTTAAAGCACCGTCCTGGCTACTGTAGGTCACTTCTCACAGGGTAACAAACAGCCGTTCCTGGGATTCTTTGTGCTTTGAATGAATGTGTGTGTATCCTGTAATCCCATCCTCCCTGCCCATTTGTTCCGTATAGGACATAGCCCCCTAAGACAGTGCTTCCCTTCTCTATCCCCGCCCTCAATGCCACCTTTTTAAAATAAAAGTTGCTGCTTGATGCTAAACAGACCCGGCTGACAGTCGACACTAAAGTTTCAGGTTTCATTTGCTGGTTTAAGTCAACATTGCAACACAATTCCTCCTCCTTAAATAATGTTTTGTCTCTTTCTGCAGAGCAGAGGAAGAAGTATTCCAGCATTATCATGGCAGACGTCTCACAGTATGCCGTCAATGTAAGTTTGGGTTTTGGCTGTGCAAAAGCGGGGGCAAGAGCTGTGGGACATCAGTGGCTAGGGAATTAGAGTGGGAAAAACTGAGTGATATTAAGGAAGAGGCTATAAGGATGAGGGGTTCTTGGTTGCCTCCAGAGTTATTTTGAGGAAACCCATTGCATGGGAAGCCTATGTGTTGCAGTGGATTCTGAAGAACATTCTAGAACAACTGCCTTCAATTATTTTGACTTGTCACTTGACTCTGACTTCTTTTTTTACCACACACGTCCTCCTTAACTCTACACTTTTCCCTCAGCTTCTCTTTGCCTGCCTGCCTGTCTCCTCTTTAAAATACAACAGTCTTCACTCCAAAACAAATCATCTAAATAATATACAACTCACTCTGAGGTTAGCCTACAAGCTAGTTTTGGGATCCTGACTCACGAGTTGGAAGACGGGTATTCTAGTTCATTTGGGATGTTGCCTAGGCCTGTATAAAGTTTTTGCGTTCATGTTTTTTTGGACTGTCCTTTAGTAGAACTATATGGGGAACCAAACAAGAAAATAATTTTTAAAAAGCATCCCTGTTTTACAATCCACATTGAAGCAGTAAGCGCCAAGGAGAGCCATGGCACAAGGCAAAAATCAGCAGAGTGAATAAGCTAATGTTTAATACTGGAAGGTCAGGACAAATGCATTCCTCACAATTCTCCTTTCATGACACAAATTATTCCAAGGTGGTGTACAAGTAAAATTAAATACAATCTTTTTAGGGGGGAAAGCAATGATCAACAATACTATAAGATCATTAGAAAGTAGTAGTAGTAATTAATAATAATAATAATACCCCACCAGATCCACTCTGGGAGGCTCCCAACAGAATATTAAAAACACAATAAAGGTAAAGATAAAGGGACCCCTGACCATTAGGTCCAGTTGTGACCGACTCTGGGGTTGCGGCGCTCATCTCGCTTTATTGGCCAAGGGAGCCGGCGTACAGCTTCCGGGTCATGTGGCCAGCATGACTAAGCCATTTCTGGTGAACCAGAGCAGAGCACGGAAACACCGTTTCCCTTCCCGCCGGAGCGGTACCTATTTATCTACTTGCACTTTGATGTGCTTTCGAACTGCTAGGTTGGCAGGAGCAGGGACTGAGCAACGGGAGCTCACCCCGTCGCGGGGATTCGAACTGCTGACCTTCTGATCGGCAAGCCCTAGGCTCTGTGGTTTAACCCACTGCGCCACCCGCATCCCTAAAAACACAATAAACTTCCCTAAACAGGACTGCCTTCAGGTGTCTTCTAAAAGTCAGATAGTTGTTTATTTCCTTGGCATCTGACGCGAGGGCGTTCCACAGGGTGGGCGCCTCTACCGAGAAGGCCCTCTGCCTGGTTCCCTGTAACCTCACTTTTTGCAGTGATGGAACCGCCCTCCTGGGAAGCCCTCCTGGTTCAGGCCAATGGCCTATCTAGTCCAGCATCATGTCATCAAAGTGGCCAAATAGATGCCGGTGGGAAACCCTCCAGCAGCAGCCAAGCACAAGAGCAGCCTCTTCGCCTGCAACTTCCAGCAACTGGTACTCAGAAGCGTACTGAATATGACTGACAACATATAAAATGTCACTGAGATGCTTCCCACAGAGCAGCTGGTAGTAGCAGATGACTCTGTGGAGGCAGAGGACAGCCCAGCTGGAGTATGAGCTGGTCTACCATCAAATAACCAACATACTTGGTGCCAAGTTAGCCTCTCTAGGGAGAGCCCTCTCCAAAAGGCCCACTCTCTTCTCTGCCCACCAACCAAACATAAGATGGCGGAGAGACCCTGTTAAGGCCTTTCTTCCTCTCCCTCCCTCTCTGTTTCTCTCTCTCTCATTTATTTATGTATTCATTCACTCACTTTCAGACTCATTCACACATACTCACACTCCACTTTTGGGCACCTGGATGTTCTAGGGCAGGGTTGGTTTTGGTAGTCATACTGATGCCCATGAATACTTGTCTACTATATCTGAGACCATATAACACTGGGCCTGAAAGACCTACATTGGCTCCCAGTACGTTTCCGAGCACAATGTTGACCTTTACAGCCCTAAATGGCCTCGGCCCAGTATACCTGAAGCAGCGTCTTCACCCCCATCATTCAGCCTGGACACTGAGGTCCAGCTCCAAGGGCCTTCTGGTGGTTCCCTCCCTGTGAGAAGTGAGGTTACAGGCAAGCAGGCAGAGGGCCTACTCGGTGGTGGCACCCACCCTGTGGAACGCCCTCCCATCAGATGTCAAGGAAGTAAACAACTATCTGACTTTTAGAAGACATCTGAAGGCAGCCCTGTTTAGGAAAGTTTTAAATGTTTTATGTTTTATGATGTTTTTAATATTCTGTTGGGAGCCACCCAGAGTGGCTGGGGAAACCCAGCCAGACGGGGTGGAGTATAAATTATTATTATAATTATTAAGGAACTCCTTCTGATGGTCCCCAGGACCATTTGCAAACTAGTGAAATAAAGCAACAAGTAACCTCGGTGACTTAAGACGGATTTGCACAGACTTGTCTCCCTTCTGTATCTTCCAGCACTTGGTGACCTTCTCCATCGGGGATGAGGATGACTTGGCAACCGTGGAGGATGCCACCAGGAAACTGTCCGTCATGGATGCCCAAGGGAAGATCTGGGTTCAGGAGATGTTGCTTCAGGTCAACGGGTCGGCCATCAAGCTCTTCGACATAGACTCAAAGGTAGAGGAGCAACCCAGGACTGTGATGTTGGGTGGCGAACAGGGACCAAGAGGTTCTTGGCTGTAGCCCTGTGATCCAATATCTCTTATTTGGAGAGGGCTCCGTATGGGTTGTCCGGATTGTTTGGTGACTTTGTCTCCCCCTACAGGAGGAGCTAGAGAACTACGGATTAGCAGCTGTGGCTCGTTGTGAAGCCGTTCGACCTGAGTCTCGATCCCAGTCGCTGCTTCTGCTTGTGTGCCAGGAACCCCACCAGCTCAAACCAGATGTCCACTTCTTTGAATGTGACCATGTAGGGGTAAGGAAACTGGACACTGTGGATCCATAAGGGAAGTGTGAAAAGCCACTCTTGATAGTGAAACCCTCTTCCAGCTGCAGGAAATGTAACCTAAAGCAGTCTTCACCAACCAGGTGCCCTCCTCTGCTGGCAAGGGCTGATGGGAGTTGGAGTCCAAAACATTGGGAGGGCACCAAGTTTGTGAAGGCTAATGTGATGCCCCAAGACATATTTTGGAGCTGGAGAAGGGAAAGAGTTTTCTCTCTCACTGCCGAGCTTTCTGACTTGGTTTCTCTTCCATTTTATAGGCAGAATTGATCCAGCAGGACATTAATGGAGCTCTGTTGGACTTCAAGTCAGGCGGAAATGCTCAGCGGAAGGAGGCGCTCAGGTGAATGCAGACCCATAAGCCTGTATAGCAAGTCTGAGGGAAAGGGGAGTTCTAAAACTATGAAGGCTGCAAAGTACACACACACACACACACACACACACACACACACACAATGTACAGTGGTACCTCGGGTTACAGATGCTTCAGGTTACAGACGCCTCAGGTTACAGACTCCGCTAACCCAGAAATAGTACCTCAGGTTAAGAACTTTGCTTCAGGATGAGAACAGAAATCGTGCTCCGGTGGCAGCTGGAGGCCCCATTAGCTAAAGTGGTACCTCAGGTTAAGAACAGTTTCAGGTTAAGAACGGACCTTCGGAATGAATTAAGTTCTTAACCCGAGGTACCACTGTATTTCAATCCTGCTGATGGCTTTTTCTAGGGCAGAGCAGCTGTTCAAGGAATGGTCTGTGTGGTTTTTCAGTAGAGATGTTTGGGTGGAGGCATCTGACCCTTTCATCCATGTGCTGTTTTTCTAACGCAAGTCCCACTGATTTCCCCCCTGCGAGTTTCCTCCCATGCTTCTTGAATCCTGCAGAGTGGAGGTGTGGAGAGTGGCTTGAAGTGGGAGTGAGTTGCAGCAAAAAAGCAACGAAAAAGGGTAAAGCACCCACATGCGCCGCTTCTCTGCTAAAACAAAGCAGAAACCTCACCAAAGCTGCTTTCACCAGTAAAAGCAGCTGCTGGAGTGCCAGTACACCTGTTTGTGAGTGACATAGTTTGGGATATGGCCCCGCCCACTTTGGTTCTGGCCACACCCACCACTGGCTCCAGCCCCTCCCACACCCAAGGGACTGTTGCCCTTGACCAGAAAAAGATTCCCCACCCTTGAGCCAGAGGAGAGCTAGAGATGTCTAGAATAGTATTCTCTCTCAGAGTGAGAGCCCTTCCTTTTTTATCTCAACCTCTTGCTTCTCGTCTCTCATCTTCAGAGCTACCCAGAATTGGCTTGGCAGCCAGACCAACAAGGCTCCGGAGACCCTGCCTCAGTCTGCTAAAGAGGTGCCCTCCAGGACAATGGTTATCGTGCCAGAGCAAAAGGAGAACGGTGAGAAGCCAGGAGCCCGGACTCTTCGCCAAAGGCTGCAAACCTGTGCACACCTTTATGCCTGAGTTGAACACCACTAAAAAAATTAGGGTGGGCAGAGGATAGCATAGCGTGTCTAACCTCCTGGCTTTTTCTGCTTCCAGATATCTCGGCAGCTGAATCTGACCTGGCCTTTGTTCAGGCCGAGCAAAATGTGGTAAGTTTAGCTGGAAAGGTTCTGTGTGAAAAACCAGGTGGCCTTCAAAAGAGGTTAGAATGATTTGTGGGAGGTAGGAGTGATTGCCATGAGGTAGGATTTGTGGATTTGCCTATATTTGCATGCACCCAATGGGACCCGTCACCTTTTGTCCCTGATGCATAGTCAGTGCCCTTGGCAGCTTCCTGACAGGTATGTGCAGGTTTGGACAGGTAACAAAGCAATGATAGGGAGAGATACACCTGTGGTGGGTTTCCCCCCCTGCTTGTTGTACAGCTGTTAAAAGTAGAGAACGTATTGGCATATCTGGACTCTAAGAAACACACACACAACCTATAGAATATATTTGTATAGAATATATTTGTTGCATCAGGGATGATCTGTTAAATACTCTTTTTTTCTCCTATACATTTAAAAATACTGTTCCCTCACCCCCCCCAAAAAATGTTTAGGGGAGTGTGTTTTCATTCTGTTAAAAGTAGTGTTGTTGTTCTGCAAACTATGTGTAGTTTTATGTTGCTGTAGCTCAATGGAATGCTGCCATTGATATGAATATCTTGCACTTCCTTCAAGGAGTTCAAGATCGAGTAGATGGTCTTTGCTGCTTTTCCAGGAATAAAGTGTAGTTAGGGCAAGGGAACATCACTTCATGAATTTGCATAGAACGGAGAATTCCAGTACATGTAGTTCACATGCCACAATCCTCTTTCTTTTTAGAAATTGAGGCTGCAATGCTATACCCGCTTACCTAGCAGTAAGCTCCCCTGAACTCAGTGGGACTTACTTCTGAGTAGACATGTACCGATCTGTGCATTTGGTTCTTACACAGAGGGCTCTATATAGAGTGTTCAGCTGGAACTGTCTACTGTTATCTCCCTTCCTCTCTCCATCTGACAGGAGCTGCTGAACCATGTTTTTGACGACGTGGAAGCCTTCATAGGGAAGCTGCAGAAATCGGCCGAAGCTTTCCGTGTCCTGGATCAACGCAAGCGCTCCGCAAAGGGGCGTCGCCGGGGGCCAGGCGGTGAGAAATATAGATCAAACTGGGCTCCAGGAAACTACATTTTCCCTCTCTTTCTTGCCACGATAACTGAGGCAGCTAGAAACTAGAGAGCCAGTGTGGTGTAGTGGTTAAGAGCAGTAGACTCGTAATCTGGTGAACTAGGTTCGCTTCTCCGCTCTTCCACATGCAGCTGCTGGGTGACCTTGGGCCAGTCACACTTCTTTGAAGTCTCTCAACCCCACTCACCTCACAGAGAGTTTGTTGTCAGGGAGGAATGGAAAGGAGAATGTTAGCTGCTTTGAGACTCCTTTGGGTAGTGATAAAGCGGAATATCAAATCCAAACTCCTCTTCTTCTTCTTCTGAATGCTGCTCCTGTCTGGCTGAACGTTCTGGTTCTGCTCTCTGGACAATTCTGGAAACCCGCCAGAATCCAGAAAGTTTCACTGGGCTCTGAAAGGCTTCCCTAACATAACAGGCCCCAGGTCTCTGTTTTGGCATAGCACCATAGCAGAGTTGTCATGCTTTGCACATACAAGAGGTCTCTTTGTGTGTGTGTGTGTTTCACACATTTGACATGAGTTGCTCTTTCAGAGAAAACCTGGGGCAAGGGGCCTTTCTCCAGAACCCTCAATGGATTCCCATCTGCAGGCAGAAATCCTGCAGCTTTGGTCATGGATCCAAAAGGCTTGCTGACACGGTTGCTGCACACCACGTGTGCAGCTCCACATGTGGGCATCTTGTATCGACATGTGTAGCACATTAATTTCATTATGTGGAGCATTTACAGGAGGCCTTTGGCACCTGTGCTGAGGAAGCCTCTAAATCCATCGGGACCAGGGGCTCTGCTCTCCAAAACAGATTCTGGACTGGTGAGGTGGAAGTGGGATGTACACACATGCCTGAGTCTGTTTTGGCATTCGTTCATGGTTTCATGCCTCTTGCTTTCTTTCGCTGCAATTCCAAGAGGAAGTATACATAATTTAGGCTGCATGTAATGTCATCGTAAAACAATAGCCCAAGTTGCAGTACAGGTGTCAATATCTTCTTACTTTGCTGCATCCGCAGAGGGACTCCTGACAATCCGATCCCGGCCTCCTCCCCAAGAGGAGTTTGAAGATGCTCTGGCAAAGATGAAATATTCCTTCAGCCTTCTGGTGAGTGTGGCTGAGAGTGCTTTTCTCGCAAGAAAGCAAGAGGGTGCCTGCCTGGCTCATGCTAACCACTAGGATACGCTTTTGTTCCCACCACCCAGGCAAGGCTGAAATCGAACATTGCAAACCCTACCTCAGAGGAGCTCATACATTTTCTCTTCAACCCCTTGAAGCTGGTAAGCAATAGGTTCGATGGGGCAGAGGGGAGGGGAAGATGAACTCTCAGGCAGCTGAACCATCGATGATTAAACCCTGGAAGGTGATTTGCCCAAGCAGCAGAATGACAGGGTGAACTATACCATGCGGATGGCAGACATGGGACTGAAACCCATTTTTTTGAGAGAAAAAAATCATTGTATGTGGAAAACTGGTGTATCAAAGGAGAGCCTAGAACAGGCATAGGCAAACTCGTCCCTCCAGATGTTTTGAGACTACAATTCCCATCATCCCTGACCACTGGTCCTGTTAGCTAGGGATGATGGGAGTTGTAGTCCCAAAACATCTGGAGGGACGAGTTTGCCTGTGCCTGGCCTAGAACATATATCCCTGGCATGCTAGGCATCTGTATGTGAAGTCTCCTTTGTCATGGGAGAGCATTAAAAGTGCAATCCTCTCCCTGCATCCTTGGAGAGCAGCGTGGTACGATCCATGAAAAGCTTCATTGTGCGATGTTGCTGCGTGTGCAGATTGTCTCTGGAGCCATGGTTCCCAATGTGGGGCACACACCCCACAGGGGGACAATTTGATTTTTAAGGGGGGCAATTCGAGAATGAGTTATTAACAGTTAATGGCCTTTTAGACTTCCCCCACATGAATAGTTCACTTTTTGAATAATAAGAATCATGTGTCATGGGGGTGGGGGGGGCATCAGGATTTTAGATATGCTTAGGTGGGGCATAGCCAAAATAAGGCTGGGAACCACTGCTCTAGAGTCAAGCACCTCCCGTGGAGAACTTGGGCTCCCTTGAGCCCCAGACTGGGATATAAATAAATAGAACAATAACAACAACTTGCTGTTTTTGACTCTCGCATCTCACTTCAGGTTGTGGAGTCTTCAGGGGGACCATCGTTCGCTTCTGAGCTGCGCAGCCCTATGCTGACCCTGGAAGCAGTGACCCTGATGCGAGGCTGCTTGGGAGACCAGGAGACGGAACTGTGGTATTCACTGGGTGAAAACTGGACCAGGCCAAGGTAAGGGGGGAAGGGACTCGAGACTTGTCTTGGTTTGTTATTTCTTCCCCAGTGCTGGATTTATGTATAAGCTAAACAAGCTATAGCTTAGGGCCCCACTTTCTTGGGGGCCCCCAAAAAAATTAAAGGGGGGGGGGGACTGGATGTACATTTTCAAAATATAAGATAAAAAACAAATTTTAAAAAACCTACATAAAGCAACAGTGTTTTGTGTTGTGTAAGTAATGATGTAAGTAATGCTAGCCTGCTCCCTAAAATATCACTGGTTTCCTCATTTCTATATATAGGGTGCCTACATTCTGCATGGACTGGTTGCAACATGTGCTAATGGCTTTAGATTCCTATTAGGTCCATAAATTACCATATAGCATATATTCAACACCAAAAAACAGTGACAATTTGTTGTTGACAAAGGACAGCTGGACATATAAAGGGCCCCATTACCTTCAGGAGCTTAGGGCCTCATCAAACCTAAATCCGGCCCTCTTCTTCCCTCTTCAAATTTTGTCTAGTTTTGTGTTTTCAGTGGTTTGGTTCACTTGCTTTCCCACCCACCTCTTCCTAAACTCTGCAGCCGTTTCCTCGGACTCTCAGTTCTGTGCTGGCCCCGTTTCCCTTCGTGCCACTGGCTGCTCAGCGTTGCAGTCACGGTGTCATGACCTCTCTTGCCTGCCATTGGCTGAACTGAGCTGATGTCACCAGAGCAGCTTGGTCACTGGAGCTGCTCAGCAGTTCACTTCCGACTCGGAGGGCATTGGAAACCTTGGGGATTTGCATTCCAAGGTCTTCAATATGTTGCTGATAAATCCAGGGGTCAGCAAACTTTTTCAGCAGGGGCCCGTTCCACTGTCCCTCAGCAAACTTTTTCAGCAGGGGCCCGTTCCACTGTCCCCTTTTTTGGGGGGTGGACTATATTTGGCAGGGGGGAATGAAAGAATTCCTATGCCCCACAAATAACCCAGAGATGCATTTTAAACAAAAGGACACATTCTACTCATGTAAAAACACTCTGATTCCTGGACTGTCCCCGGGCTGGATTTAGAAGGCGATTGGGCCAGATCCGGCCCCTGGGCCTTAGTTGGCCTACCCATGAATTAGACCCATCCATTTGGGACACTGGCTAGTGATTCAGTGTTGATCAGTTTGAGGTAGATCAGTTGAGTGGTTTTGGCAATTTTAATCAGAAATGAATGGGCAAGTTTCAGTATGTGTTTGAGGGTTTCATCATCATCATCATCATCATTTATTGTTTATTAAATTTGTATACCACCCTATACCTGCAAGTCTCAGGGTGGTTCACAAGATAAAGTCACAATATGAAAACACATATCAATCAAAATGAAAACAATCAAAATGAAAACAACCCAATAACCCCCCTCATTCCATGATTTCACTCATTCTCAATTGTATTATTTTCTTCTATTCATTTCTACCTCCTTTCTGCCCTGTGTGCCCCAGAGTGGACTTCCCCCGGGGCTACGCAGACCCCTACAACCCAACTTTCCGGAGTGGCTGGGAGACGCCACGCCTGGACGCTTCTGGCCAGCCTTGGGAAGACCCAGTGGAGATGCAGCACCGACACGAAGAACGTCGCGCCCAAGTGAGTGATGAGGTGGAAAGCAGGCAGGATAAACATTTGCAAAAAAAAAACAAAAAAAACACACACACTGAGGGCAAGAGGACAGCTGCAAAAGCATCTGCTGCTCCCGGGAGAAAGACCAAGTTCTCCTTGTGGGCAGAAAGTGGCTTGAATGATCCATTCTGATGTATTTTGGGGCATCCTAATACATTCTGGGTGGATCCAGTAGCTCATTTCTTGTTGCAATTGCTACAAATAAGAATCTGGTGGAACCAACTTTTCAGGAAGAGCGTTATGACTGTTTGATTCCACAGCCGCTACTCACTGCATAAATCAGACCATTTTTTAAAAACAACTACTTCCTACAGTTCCACCTCTCTCTCTCTCTCTGCTATAAGAATAGACCTGCTGAGTGAGACTAAAAGTCATTTTAAACTAGCCTTTTGCTTTCTTCTGTGGCCAACTAGATACTTCAGGGAAGCTCCTCAAGCAGGCTGTTAAGGCAAGATCCATCCCACATTGTTTGTCCTCCCCTCTTCTCCCTAATATTCATCAGCATAGTGGCACTGAAAATGGGCGCTCTATTCAGCCAGTAATAAAACTGTCTATCATAAATTTGTCTAGTTTCCTTCTAGAAGTGCCCAATCTTGTATCTTCCATTGCATCTTAATTACACATTAATTGGGCTTGCCCCGGATCACTCAGGGAGCTTGATGGGCTACGTGAGGATTTGAACGCAAGTCTTGCTGGCCACACATTCTAGCCACCACTTCGCACTGGTTCTCATTATGGTTGGGTACGCCAGAGGCAGAGTGGATCTGAATTGGCCTTTCCCAACATGCTGCCCTCCAGACATTATTGGCCTGCAAATCCCATCAGCCCCAGCATCATACGGCTGTGCTGACTGAGGCTGATGGGAACCAGGACACCTGGAGGGCACCAGGTTGCAGGAGGGAGGTTGGCTCTGACTACAGTCAATATGACTTCAGGCCTGATCAGTTAGAGGTGATAACTTGGGGAGGATACTGCCTTGAGCTGGATGTTGGGTTAAGGTGACTGTGCAGTCTTGCGAGTTAACCATTTATCTGTTTCTCCTCCCCTCTCTCCTCTGTTACAGCAATCAGCTCCCACAATTGCAGCCAATGGGTAAGTCCCTTTCAAGCCTCTGGCCATTTGATTTTTATATTTGCGAAGGTGTGTTGAGATGTTTGGATGGATGGATGGATGGATGGATGGATGGATGGATGGATGGACCGACGGATGGATGGATGGATGGATGGATGGATGGATGGATGGACCGATGGATGGATGGATGGATGGACTTGGAAGGCAGGGTTGGAAATTGGATCTGAGAGGCAAGGAGAGAGGAAAGGTGGGAGAGGGGGGAAGATATTGCAGGCTTCCCATAGGCATCTGGTTGGCCAGATCCAGCAGGCTGTTCTTATACTGAAGGATAGGATGGGATTCGCAAAGTTTTGGTAAAGTTCTCCCAAAATTCTGATCAGCATTGTCTGTTTTCTGTCTTACTGTTTCTGGAGCCGCAAAATGTCAGCTTTCTGAATAGGGATATTGGCTTTCCCTTTTTAATATACATATTAATAAAAAACTAGTTAAAAAGAAAGAATTATTATTGTTGTTGTTGTTGTTGTTGTTGTTGTTGTTGTTATTTTATGTTACTACATAGAGGAGGGCCCCCATAAAACCTTAAGAATATTATTTCTGTGTGCAGCAGATAATATAGGGACCCCTGACCATTAGGTCCAGTCGTGGCTGACTCTGGGGTTACGGCGCTCATCTCACTTTATTGGCCAAGGGAGCCGGTGTACAGCTTCCGGGTCATGTGGCCAGCATCACTAAGCCGCTTCTGGCGAACCAGAGCAGTGCACGAAAATGGCGTTTACCTTCCCGCTGGAGTGGTACCTATTTATCTACTTGCACTTTGATATGCTTTTGAACTGCTAGGTTGGCAGGAGCAGGGACCAAACAATGAGAGCTCACCCCGTCGCGGGGATTCGAACCGCCAGCCTTCAGATCGGCAAGTCCTAGGCTCTGTGGTTTAACCCACAGCGCCACCCGCATCCCAGCAGATAATATGGACTATTGCTATTTTGCAGATGGGAGATTCTGTAACATACCTGCACAATTAAAGTTTGGTGCTCTTGCACAACAAAGCCGCTTTCCTCTTAAATCTGACTTTTTGCAATAAGGAAAAGGATGGGGAAATGTACCAGAAAGTATGGGATATAACCATGGCTTGATGCAACATCATATAAACTCCCAACATATAAATTAGAATGAATGTTCAATAAACAGGTTGTCTGCAAGTGACCTCAGATGCATGGGCCCCCGTGCAACATTGGTGGGGGCAGCATATGGGAATAGAAAGCTAAATTTACTGTATACTGAACTGAAAGTACTGGCCATTGTGTTGCCTCTCCTGTGAGTGACAAAAGCTCTCCAGAGTCACAGGCCTTTCCCAGCCATGCTGCACAAAACCCTTTCGTGCTGGGCTCTCATCCAGGCACCAATTAAATCACAGCTTCACAGACCTCCAGAGCCTTTTCTGGACCCTAAGGGTGGGGGAACTTGAAAGAAGTGTGTGTGTGTGTGTGTGTGTGTGTGTGTGTGGAGAGAGAGAGAGAGAGAGAGAGAGCGAGCGCCAGGGCTGGGATTGGAATGGCCTTGGCCGTTGTCATGATGAAGGGCTCCTTCTCAGCATAATATGCCTTTCAGGCAGAGAGTTCTTGAAGGTCTTCCCAGCTGGGAAAATTTGTGAGCCATTTGACCATGGGAAATTTAGATAAATTCTATGTTGTTCTTTTCTGTTTCTCTCTCTCTCTTTCTGTTGTTCTCGCTGTCTCTCTGCATTGGGTGAAGCTGGGTCCGGTGGTGAGCAGGGAAGTCAGTGATAGGACTAGTGGTGGTGGTGGGAATGACTGGGGGCTTCGCTAGGTGAGGGTGTATAAATTGCAGGTGGCTGTTAGGGTAAGTGGGAGGTAAGGGAGCTTCAGGTCGGTGATCAGCAGCCATTTAACGTTGAGTGGGGACTTGAAATTACCTCCCCAAATCGGAACCTGTTTGCAATTGTGGCTAAGGACCTCCCTAGCCACTGTCACATCAACGAATTCTGAATGCAAAATGTTAGCAGCTGCCAAAGAATCCAGCTTATTAAAACTTTTATAATTTTATCTGCTTAAAAAAAAATATTCCTAGTCTTCTTCACTGATGGGAGAAGTACTTTAAAAAAAAAACTGACACGAGATTAATAAATCGCTGAAGAGTAAATTCAGATCCAGTGTGGCCAAGAAAGAGGTTTCTGAGAAAACATGCAGGCCTTGTTGGTCATTAAACCAGCTCCCATGCTTAGTTTAATCCTCTGCTCCCTAACTGTCCAGTGAGTCCCAATACTTGCCAGGAACAAGAATAGTGGTAAACTGAAACAAAATGTTCTGGCCCCTCAGCTACAAACTCATTAATTTATCTTTAACTAGTAGTATAGCAGACTGATAAATAGATAGATAGATAGATATAGATAGATGACAGACAGACAGACAGACAGATAGATAGATAGATGATAGATAGATGATAGATGATAGATGATAGATGATAGATGATAGATGATAGATGATAGATGATAGATAGATAGATGATAGATAGATAGATAGATAGATGATAGATAGATAGATAGATGATAGATAGATAGATAGATAGATAGATAGATAGATGATAGATAGATAGATAGATAGATAGATAGATAGATAGATAGATAGATTTGTCCTTATGACCACCCTCTGATTTGGGGTAATTCAGTTCTATAGCATTCCAGCTATAGCGCGCACACACACACACACACACACACCAATAATCCTGAGAAGAGGATGGTAAGAACTGTGAGTGGTCTCTAGCTCCCTCACCCCAGGAACCACCTCTCAGTCATACAATGACTATTGAACTTTCTTCAAACATATTTAGTATAGATATGCCCATAATGATTCACTTGAGATCCACAAGGTTGAAATATAACCAATTTAACAAAGGGAGATGGGGCAAAAACAGATATCTTGAATTAAAGTAGACATGTACAATGGGGGTGGAAAAACACTTCTGGCCCCATAAGTGTTGGGGTGTGTGTGCACATACTGCCCAAAAATGAGGAAATGACTGTTCACTGATGCATACTGTGTCAGGGAGGGAGTGGGTTCCCTCATACTTCTTGAAATAAATTAAAACCAGATGCCTCTTTTTGAGCTGAACCAGAAATTCTGGATTTCAGGCAAGACAAAGATAGACTAAGGTCCCAACGGGTCACTGAAATAATCTAGGCTAGTGACCTCTCCCCTTTTTATTACTTAGGGTGGATTTTCCACAAGTATTTATGATGTGATGTTGTTTGCATAGAGAAGTCACGAAAAGGTTCCAATAAAGTGTTGAGATCCAAGGTCTCCACTTCCTGGAAAACCCTTCAGAAAAGGAGCCAGGCAACACTTACATTAAAAAGAGTAAACAACTTTGAGTCCCGAGTCATGTCTTCCCAAAAAGAAGACTGGGAATTGCACTTCTGCAAAAGTGCAGTGAATTCTTGGCTAAAGCCTTGGCTTCACGTTACATTCACTACATAATAGAATCCCACAACTGGACACATGCAGTGAAGCACTAGTAGCCTCTGTCAGACTACCACTCCTCTTGGCAGCTGATTTTCTCTGTTTCTTTCCCCTACCAATTGGGAGGGGGAAATAGCAGCTAAAGAGAGAGAGAGAGAGAGAGAGAGAGAGAGAGAGAGAGAGAGAGAGAGAGAGAGAATTCAGTCATTAGAGCCAGAGGCTCTTAATGTCTGGGTCATGGGTTTGATCCCCATGTTGAGCAAAAAGAATCCTTCATTGCAGGGGGCTGGACTAGATAACAATCGTGCTCCCTTTTAACTCTATGGTTCTACGAAAGGGACAGCTGGCAGCTTCTCCTTCACCCTGTGTGTGCAATTCCTGTCCCTTCCAGCTTCCTTTGCCTGTTGATGGCAAGCCCTTCAGAAGTCACCATAGGCAGAGTTCTCATTCATTGGGATTCCCCTAATGCAGGGAGTGTAACATGTACCCAGACTCTTTAAGTGCCATGTGGCTGGACTGAAGACACATGCGTTCATCTACGCATATGTTGCCTGTGCCCTCCCCTTTCAGCACTGGACAGATGGCGTGAACAGGTCCTAGTCACATAAACCAGATTGTACAACATGTTCTATGTACAGAGGGGCTCCTGTCAACTGCCCCCCTCGCCCGAATTAAGCCAGTGTCACCACATTTCTACTCCATGTCACCTTCCAGCCCTTGCAAGGTTTCACTCTAGGAAATATGGAGGATGATTAATAATGCTGGGAGTAATTATAGGGTTGCTCCCTTTCCACCCATTAAGTGGCTGCTGGAGGAGTAGCCAAAATTTTTGCCCTCCAGCTGTTGTTGGACTCCAACTCCCATCAACCCCAGCCAGCATGGCTAGTGGTTAGGGATGATGGGAGTTGTAGTCCACAGGGGAGGACAACCATGCTGGAGCTAGGCTGCTGCATGGTTCCCAGTTGTTCCCCTGAGGAGTTCAAGCAGGGAAGCAATAAGAGCACGGAATTAATATGCTGGATCCTACACAGTTTGGCTTTCTGCACACATTACGGAAGTAAGGCCCGCACGGTTCCTTCTCAGAATGCATCTGCGCACCACAGAAAGTGTGGATGTGTAAGCAGTCGGGAGCAGAGCCAGGTAGACTTATTGGCTATATCCCCAGGTAGACATTGCTGAACATGATGTCCCCTTCAGTGAGGGCTTGGAGGACATTGAGGCACATTGCCCTCCTAAATAGGCCTCCTGTAGAATTACTTGTTTTCACTTAACGTTAACACGAATGCTGCCATAGACGGGAGCACACTTTGGTAATGGCCAGGCACTGTAATTTGGGCACAGCGCACAGGGAGTTCTTGATGTGGAACAGCACACAAGTAGCAGGCTCAAGAGAACATGCCAATCTCTTCAGCCCCTGGATAGCCATGGCTTGGCAGGAAGCTAAATAAACACAAAGGAAGTCCATTCCAGGCTTTGTGTACAATGTGGGAGGACAGAACTGGGAGAACTGGGTTTTCTAGAAAGGCTGGGGGAATGACCCAGGGCAGCAGGGCTTGGGAACAACGAGGCTGCCTGGGTTAGCTTGAAACAAAATGGGTTTTTGTTAGGGATGAATAATGTAAGGAACAGACCAGGAATTAAGGACTCTTGGGTTTACTGGGATAAGGTAGCGTAATAGGAGCTGGCTGGTTAAACAGGGAGGTGTAAAGGAATGTAGGTATCACAGAAGGCAAGGCCAGATGCTCTGGTGATGGGTGCAGAAGGGAAATATAACAGGATGAAAACAAGAGGACAGCGGTTAAAGAAAGATGGCGCCCAGAAGAGAGCCAAGAGGGGGACGCTAGGCAGCCAGCTAAGGTAGGATCGGTGGTGGTGGGGATGAAGGGCTCTAATTCCTTTTCTTCTCCATCTCCTATCATCTGTTCTGAAGCGCTTGGCAAGCTTTGTATCCCAGCGGGTTCCAGTTGTGATCCTCATCCAACTGGGAGGAGGACCGCAACATGGAGGGGCGAGAGACGCTTTGGTCCTGCAGGAAATTCCATTCACTATAGGAAAGAGGCAGGTGGTGCAGGGGCCAATATCTCACATTGTGCGTTATCTAGCCCTTCCTTCAGTATTACATTTCCCCCCCCTGTCATCATGAATTTGCATCATTCCCTCCATTCAACTAGATAAAAAGTGATGAAAAGCTAGGGCTGAATGGTTGAAATAACTTTCGGTTGATTCATCACCTGACCTTTTCAGCAGCTTAGTCAAGTGATAAAAATTTCAGTGAACTTTCATATTGCCAAGCCCAAATTTGCATGCCTTTCTGAGATATTGAAGGAAGTGTACAATATTTACTTACAACATTTACCAGTAACCACTCTTTGTTAGAAGGGCTGTGTTTAATAGTTTCTTGTTCACTCCTCTTATGTCACTGAACCCCAAAGTAACCTTGAAGAAAGTGTTCCACAACTTGAACTAAAGCTTTAATTGATATCTTAATTGGTTTTAAAATGGATTTGTCCCCCAATCAACAAATCCCCCATTGGTTTCAGAATTGACAAAGCTCATCCTCTCTCTTTTATTGTTCTGGCCTCTGAATTTGAGGCAAAGTCCATTACTTCAAATGTAACCACAGTGCCAGCCTATCTGGTATGGTCAGGAAAGGTTCTGTGGAGGCTTTTCAGGGTTACTGTGCCTTTAAAAGCTTCCATCTCGTGTCTCTAATTAATTGCTTCCTGTTCGGCACAGCCAGGGCATCACTGATGAATTTCCCTTTGAATGGTTCAGTTCCTGTTTCCTGTGAGGGGGGTCTTAATTTATGGTTTCCTCCGCTTATTTTTCTTACGAAAAGTATTATCAAGTAATACTTAAATGAAGGGGGGGTGTTAATTCTGCCATCAGTTAATGGTGGTAAAGTAAATGGAGCTCAGTGTGGAGGCAACACTAGTTGGTTAAAACTACAGATTTGCAAATAAATGAAACAATAGTTCTGAGCAAAATGCTTACTTCCTTTGTTTTTAGACTGCAAGCATGTATATCACAGCAGCATCTTAAAAGAGGTTCCTTTTCCCACCCCTCGTCTTCCCTGTCAAATGAGAACATTTATATATATATATATGGGACGCAGGTGGCACTGTGGGTTAAACCACAGAGCCTAGGACTTGCCGATCAGAAGGTCGGCGGTTCGAGTCCCCACGACAGGGTAAGCTCCCCTTGCTCGGTCCCTGCTGCTGCCAACCTAGCAGTTCGAAAGCACGTCAAAGTGCAAGTAGATAAATAGGTACCGCTCTGGCAGGAAGGTAAACGGCATTTACGTGCGCTGCTCTGGTTCGCCAGAAGCGGCTTAGTCATGCTGGCCACATGACCCGGAAGCTGTACACCGACTCCCTTGGCCAATAAAGCAAGATGAGCGCCGCAACCCCAGAGTCGGTCACAACTGGACCTAATGGTCAGGGGTCCCTTTACATATATATATATATATATATATATATATATATATATATATATATATATATATACACACACACACACACACACACACACCTGCCCCATGTAAAAGAGCACCTTTTTAATCAGTCAAATTTTTTTTTATTGGGTTTATCTATCTGATTAATTAACTAAACATTGCCTTGGTTTAAACCAAATGAAGATCACAAAACTACATAAATGCCACAAGCATGCAAATCCAGGAGAAAGATTATTTTGGGAACAGCAATGGACAGAGTGAAATTAAACTGTTTTGTTGTTCGTTTGGAATATGTACAACCTGCCCATCATCTACATGGAAACTAGTGCACGATACAAAACCTAAAAATAAACAAACTGTACTACGATCAGCTATAAACAGCACAACACATCACCCAAACGAATGAAGACAATTTTAAAAAATGTGACACAGAAAGGGTTGCATGATCAGCAAATTAAAAACTCTTGAAATGTCTGGGTAAAGTAAATCTTGACCTGGCACTGAAATGATAGCATCTGTGCCAGCCCAACTTCTAAAAGGAGGGCATTCCACAACCACATTGATGCAAGACAGAGCCTTCTGGATGGCCATTTTTTTACTGTTTAAGCGTCCTAACCCACACTGATATTCTAGAAAGCCCACAAGTCATGGACCTTCCTGCCCATAACCCCATGTGCTCTTTCTTCCCTCCTGACAGACGTAAACACCCAGAGAGCAAGTCTGTGATCTCCACCCATAACTTCACAGCCAGAAACAACAACGAACTCTCAGTACTTCATGGAGAAATGTTGCAGGTGAGTTGATGTCCCAGAACACTTGCAGTGCCAGAAGATTCCCACTCCTGATCTGGCCAGAATAGAAAGGAATGTGATTTGCAGATTGGACACTGCTGTAGGGAAGCTGCTTTCATTGGGGACTCAGGGCATTTGGAAATACCCTATTGCCTGGTCACCCAAGCCAGAATATCCTAGGCAATGAAGCAGGCTTGCACATTAGACGTCTTGGATCTCGCCTCCCACCACACTTGTAGGCCATGAATGAGCCCTAAATGGCTTAACAGAAATGTGCATGGGCTGGGAGCCTACCAACAACATTGTGGGTTAGGTAACATTTATAGAATTGTTTGTGAAATGGAATCGGGACCTCCCCTGACAGGGAACTTGAGAACCAAGTTTTTGTTTTTGTGGTTTTTTTCCAAAAAAATTTATTGGTTTTCCATATTTATAACAGACATAAACAAACAAACAAACATAAATCCTAACTATAATAATTCCACTTTTGTTGACATTGTTAGGTGACTTCCTCGAATCCCCCAGCTGAGTTTCAATGTATATCATTGTAACAGTTTTCCAAAACTTAATTTCTCATAAAATTTACTTGGTCAATTAACGTCTTTCTTTCCTTTCATATTACCTTTAAACATATTATTCTATAACATCACATATTTAAATCCAAAGCCAGTCTGATACTTGCAAGTATTTCTGTTTAAGTTATCTTAGCATATTTAGCTAAATAGTCTTTAAATTTCATCCATTCCTCCTGGTGCTCCTCCTCCTTCTGGTCGCGGACTCTTCCTGTCAGGTCGGCCAGCTCCCAAAAGTCCATCATCTTCATCTGCCATTCCTCCACTGTTGGCACTTCTTGTGCTTTCCAATTTTTGGCCAACAAAATCCTAGCGGCAGTTGTGGCATACAAAAAACAATCTAGCATCTTTCTTGGGCAATTCCAGACCTAGAACCAAGTTTTTGCTTAGCTAGGAACGTGTCTCCTTTTTCTTTGCCGTTAGGTCCTGGATGACAGCAAGAAGTGGTGGAAAGTTCAGAACCACTACGGTCAGGTTGGCTACGTCCCTTATAATATTCTCGCCCCAGTTCTAAACCACAACAGCACTCCTCAGGTCAACGGAACCAGCCCAGCGATATCCAAGGTGAGGCTTAGAGCACTAATTAGAGCTTGTCTGTTTGCTTGCTTGATTTTATTTGTTGTAGAGCTGTGTGCCACTTTTCTAATAAAATACCGTATTTTTCGCTCTATAAGACGCACCAGACCACAAGATGCACCTAGTTTTTGGAAGAGGAAAACAAGGAGGGAAAAAAATTCTGAATCTGAGAAGCCAGAACAGCAAGAGGGATCACTGTGCAGTGGAAGCAGTAATCCCTCTCGCTGTTCTGGCTTCTGGGATAGCTGCGCAGCCTGCATTCGCTCCATAAGACGCACACACATTTCCCCTTACTTTTTGGGAGGGAAAAAGTGAGTCTTATAGAGCAAAAAATACGGTATCCAACATGACAGGCTGGCTGGAACAGTAAACAGGAGCACTTCAAATAGCATCGTTTTATTACAGGTCCCATTTGTACCTCTGCATAGCAGATGCTGGGCAGAAACTGGGAATAGGTGTTGCCTTTCTGCCTTGCATCCTTTGCTGATTCCCAGAAAAGAAAAATGTCTACATGCTGTTGGAAAGATGACTTTGGACTAAATGGATCTTTGGTCTGATCCAACAGCACAACTCCTATGCCCAAATGATCCTGGCCATGGAATCTTGAACAAGCCTGGGAAATGTTAGACTCACATGGGCCGGTTTAGAGAAATAGGTACAGAATATTTTTTAAAAAATTATTAAATAAATAAATAAGATTTCCCTGGAAGGTTGGAAGAGGGACACTTTTAAAATCCATTCTCACCAATGTAGATTTGCGGGAAATGCCCCAAAGAAAGCAGTTTAATATTCATGCCACTTTTTAAAACCAACACAGCATAAGAACATGTACGGGACCCAAACTGTTCAGACATGCTTAAAAACCCAGACAGTCTGGAAGGCAGTGGGAAGCAGGGGAGAAATTCAATCCAGTTTGCAGTTGAAGGTGAACCTATCAAATGTTCGCTTTCCAAACCAATATGGGAACTGAAACACAGCCGTCCTGCGAAAATTCACACTTAATCTGAATTTTGCGATGCAGTTCTCAAGCCAAACAGTGTTGACAAAAATGTATGCAGGAATGAATACATTGGTGAAATTGATGTCTAAAAATGTTTACTGTTAGAAGAAATTGCTTGCAAAAAGGTGTACTGCAGACCAAAATGTGCTTATTAGGAGAAATTCACACTAAAATGAAGAATTTAAAATTCACAAATGGATGCAGAAATAAGGAGGACTAAATTTAAGACTGGGGGGAAATGTGAAACTGAGAGACCTGAAATTGTCAAATCCTTCCATCCCTAGTGGGAAGGCAGGTGTAGTGGCACTTGCAATATTAGCATAGCGTGTTCTTCGTGAGTTGACGTCCCACCAGGAGATGGGCTTTTCAGGAGGCCGAGCTGTTCATATTTGCTTCTCCCCTCTGCCTCTACTTAGAAAAGTCCACCTCAGCCGCCACCCAAGACCAAAAATCTGTACACAAATGGCAGAAATTGGGCCAGCACAGAGGCACTTAACATGGACCTGAGTGAGCGAGGTAAGCCTGCCTTTGTATGTGGAACTGGGGAGCTCTGGGGAGCATAAGCTATTTTTTCACCATTTTAACATAGCTTTGGTTCAAGCGGTGTAGGAGTAACCTCAGCACAGAGCAGGGGACACAATAGCTAATGCGGCAGGCCGCAAGGATAATAGGCGATAAAATGTGTTTTAAAATCTGCATATTAAGTGAAATTTGCACTAAAATTCTGACGAGGACATTTTTTTAAGGTTGGGAAAGCATAGAGGAAACAACTGGGGAGAGGTCTATGAGGTGCTCACACCCCCATTAGAAATTGTGGGTTTCATGAATGTTTGGTGAAACATTCAGTGCCACTTGATAAATTGAAAGCCTCCTATACTGTACTTGGAAAGCTTATACTTGAATGCATTGACATTCTAGATCCCTAAAAATGTATTAAAACCCGCTTAATGGGGGGGGAGAGTTATTTGCAACAAATTCTCTTAATGGCTTGGATCTAAAGAGGGGCATGCAAGGAGTTTCTGCTACCCGTGGAATTGATGTTCTTAACACATGACCAACTGCTTTTGAAACTTTCCTCGTTGCTATGTGACATGGGGAACATGGCTACTCAGCCCAGAGTTGGTTTTAGTTAAAATTCTTCACACCACATATATATATCTATTTATATGAGTTTGTGGTATAGAAAGGAATTAATAATCATAATAAAAAGGCCACATTTCCTATGGGACGCCCAAACCTTGGCTCTAGGGCAAAGCACTTTCTATTACATGATTTTAAACAACTGAACGCTAATTGGTGGTTGTGACTAACAGAGACTAACAGGCTCTAAGGGAAGCTGAGCCTCTGGAATATTGGTAGCTGCCAGGGCCTCAGATTCTGCTTGCTTTGAAGCTAAAAGCACGTCAAAACTGCTCATGGTTGTCCCACCAACATTCCCCGGGCTCTGAGCTTTCTTCCCTTGGTATGTTTCCCAGCTGATTCCTCTCCCCATTCCTTTCCGTCCAACCTGTCCGTGACAAAGGGGTCTCCTTTTGGTTCCTGTCAGACAAGCTGTCAGCATCACTTAGCATTTTTCACAAGAGGTTTTTTCGAGCTTGAAAGGTATAAAGAGTCGTCCTTTCCTCCCAGAAGCACAGCATAAGGATGCAAAACACTCGACTTACGCGAGAACTGGAATAGAGTCGCATGGATGAAGGATTTAGACTGAAATGTGCAGTTTGAGGTGTGGTGGACTGGCTTTTTGCTATCTGAAAGCTGTTATACAACTGTCCTCGTATGACACGACACAGGGTTCTGTGGGAGAATTTCTGAACTGCGCATATAGCGATTGGAGTCCGTTGTATCTGATTGTGGGAAGTAGGGTTAATTGGTCTGCCCACCCATCCAAACATTGTGCCGTGTGTGACATCACTTCCTGCCCCGGCAGAGCGCTTCAACACGGTGAACGAGGAGCTCGCCCTGAGACTGGCCAATGGGACAACTAGCCATAGCAGGAACCTTCACATCCAGCGGGCTGCAGACACCAACCTGCCTTTAGGATACGATTCAGACCCTGCTCAAGTTCGGACCTGGCTGGAAGCCAAAGGATTCAGCCCATTGTGAGTTGGCCTCTGTTTTCCTTTGAGAAGATATGTAGGTTGGCCATGAAAGTCCAAACATATTCCTTGGTATCTACCAAAGCAGCTTCCTGTCTTTCCTGTGTGCAATTACCTTCTTCAGATTCATGTTGCACATTCGCCAATTGTGAGGCCTGCATGTGTCAACTTAACCTACCCAGTTTTCCTCGTTGGCCTGTTTTATGAGCACCTTCTTTAATGGCCTCTATCTGAAAGCAGCTTCCACTTTCCTGAACAGCTCAATAGCTCTTAGCTTCTTAATGATTTGCCGTTGCCCAGTTGTTAGCTGTGGTTCCTTTTTCTGTGCTCCTGGTTAAGGTTTCTGATTGGCTGTGGTGACTCCCTATTCCCTCATTAACCCAACACCAGTTTTCGGGGGTCCATCCCTGCTCCTGCCAACCTAGCAGTTCAAAAGCACATCAGAGTGCAAGTAGATAAATAGGTACCACTCCGGCGGGAAGGTAAACGGCATTTCCATGCCCTGCTCTGGTTATCCAGAAGCGGCTTAATCATGCTGGCCACATGACCTGGAAGCTGTACGCCGGCTCCCTCGGCCAATAAAGCAAGATGAGCACCGCAACCCCAGAGTCGGTCACGACTGGACCTAATGGTCAGGGGTCCCTTTACCCTTTATGAGATGCCATACTCTCCAATGGGTTGCTGTTTGTCTACTGTGGATATTTTAATTGCTGTTTTAGATGTTCTGCTCTTCATCTGCATGGATATTCCATCCCACAGCTTAAGACCTGTAGCGGTGTGACTTAGTTGTATGTACATACCATACAATTGCAGTAATCCTGGAACTTTTGCTAACCCTTCACAGAACTACAATTGCTGGCACCCTTAGCAAGCTACACTTGTCAGGATTCTTGGGGGGCAGGAATGTGCTTTAAATGTATGGTGTGTATCCAGGCAACACTTGTTTCCTGCTTGTTTCCTGTTCAAGGTTTTATGAGTGTAAATAGCAGAAATTCCCTTTCTTTCCCATAACCCACTCCCCATAACTCACTCTTTCTTCCTCCTCACAGGACAGTAAGTGCCCTGGGGGTCCTAAACGGAGCTCAGCTTTTCTCCCTGAAGAAGGATGAGTTCAGAGCTGTCAGCCCAGAGGAAGGAGTTCGAGTCTACAGCCAGGTCACAGTCCAGAGAGCCCTATTGGAGGTACAAGGAGCCCTGAAGCTTCTTTTATGGGTTGGGAGGGTGGTGATGCAAGTCAAGACCTCTTGTATCCCTGAGCAGGAAACAGTCTACTGGGCTTTAGCAAAAAAACAAAACACAAAGGAAGGCTCCTGGGGTCCAGGAAAGCCACAAACTAATTTTCTATGACACTACAGTTTTCTGAGAATTAAATGCACCACGATGGGACTGGGGAAAGTTGGGGCGTGCTTGAAGCCAGAACAATATTATATCCATTCTTCATTTTCATTATTTTCTTCCAGGATTCTGGGAAAGTATCAGAGCTAGAGGCTGTGATGGCGAAACAGAAAAGGAAACTGGAGGGTTTGAATCCGTAGATGGGAGATCGCCCCGTTTGGTGTGGGAGTGCCCCCTGTTGAAGCATTGAGGAACTGCATGGTAACAGGCTCTGAAGCCGCACCATCATCCCAAATTCTCCCCACATCACCCAAGATCTGCATTCTACAGCAGCGTTTGTTTTGAGCTAAACTTCTTGTTGTTGAGCATATGTTCCTGTAAAGCAAATTACCGCCTTCAAATCATATCCCAGATTTTCTCTCCAACTCCCTTTTGAAATAGTCATCAGAAGAAACCTCTCTTCTCTCAGTCAGTAGAACATGAGACTCTTAATTGTAGGATTGTGGGTTCGAGCCACACATTGGGCAAAAGATTCCTGTACTGCAGGGGGTTGGACTAGATGACCCTGGCGGTCCCTTCCAATTCTACAATTCACCTAGCCCACACGCCTTCCCTCCCCAAATGCGGGGGGAAATGGAATAGCAGCAACTCTTCCTCATTATAACAGAGAACATTCATGCCGCGTTCATTTATCTCCTTTCATACAAAATGAAATAATGTTTATCTTTTACAGAAGGTAATGGACCTAGGTCTGGCTCACTAGGAAAACTGGATTGAATTATTATCATTAATTAAATTTTACAAGCTTTGCAACAGATCTCCATGGAATTTCCACTCATCAAATCAACTGTTCTTCCATTTCTGTGCATTCCTGTTGTTTGCTATCTCTTTCTCCCCACCTGTCCCTGAATTTTCCAGTTAAATCTAGGCCTGGATATTGCCGTACGCGTTATTTGTCTTGCAGTTGCACTGCATCATTATCTTTGCAGCTTTAAATCGGCACTGCATCATAGTGGTTGTAGTCAAAACTTTTGTCTCCACTTTCCATCAGGGTGAGTTGGCAACTCATGAGTATTTTTCAGCAAGAAATCTTCTGTTGCCAGGATTTATCCATCTATCTTTATTTGAATAAGAGAATAGCTCGGCTGAAATGTATTAAGTATCTCAGGAATGTTTCCTCCTTCAGGAGAGACATGGGAAGCTATGGAACAAGCTTTTCTACAAGATCATTCCTTCACCCTTAAAGGATTTTTCCCACTGACAAACTCACACTTTCATTCCATGGAGTTAATGTAAGCTGACATTGGGCACTACCAACTCCTGTCACCAGATGACAGTCTCTATTTGAGGCAAACCAAGTTACCCTTCACAAACTGTATTTGGAAAACGTCATTTCCCCCACTTTCATTGTGTACATAAAAGCTTTGCCAGGTTTTAACAACTTGGCCCTTTCATCTCTAGTTGTATCTTTTTTTGGGGGGGGATTGAATCAGATCAGCTGCTTTCAAGGAGTCTTGTGCAAGAGAATATGATATTCTCTGTGTGTGTGTGTATATATATATATATATAGTCAAAGCTTGATGATTTATTTGGAAACGAGTTATGCTGAATTTCCATTTTGGTGGATTGGAAGGAGAGGAGTTTGGCAATATAACCAGATCCACCCCGCCCTGACAGTTTTCACACTTGTTAAAGAATTTGTTGAAGAACACAATGATTTCGACTGCTTTAGAACTGTTTCCATTCAAACTTCCTCTGTTTAGTTTTAAGTGTCCCTCAGATGGTTTACCTTTGATGTGTGCCTTTTAAAATTAACATGCTGAAGAAATTTTGGCCAAATAGCTCAAAGCTGTTTCCCCCCCCCCCCCAAAATTAATCTAGTGTTAAAGGGAATATTTATTTGAAAGGATATTTGTATTAATTTAACATTGGCTGCTGTTAATGTTTTGTAAAGAATAGGCTGCATAATTTTTTTACACTTATTACCCACCTCCACCACCTGCCGTAGCCTAATTTTGACAGTTTCCATAAAGTACAAGTCAGTAATTGGCAGGCCATTGGCCAAATACAGTCCTCTGAGCAATGCAGTCTACTGTTGCAAACCTAAGGTGGAAAGGAAAGTTTAGAGCAGGTGTGGAGAAGCTTTGGCACGCCAGCTGTTACTGAACTTTTGGGCATGCTTGCTGGGGCTGATGGGAGTTGTAGTTCAACAACATCTGGAGGGCTTCCCCACACGTGCATTAGAATATTAAGCATTGTAAAATACCAAATTGTACACTAAAAATTAGTTTCTGGTCCAATGTGATAATTGGAAAGGGAAGGGAAGGAGCTGGGTAGGGCGTGGCCTACCATCATCATGCAACTACCACAGAGCCTCTTGGGCTTGCTGATCAGAAGGTCAGCGGTTCAAATCCCTGTGATGACAGGTTGAGCTCCTGTTGCTCTGTCCCAGCTCATACAAACTTACAGTTCGAAAGCACGCCAGTGCAAGTAGATAAATAGGTGCTGCTGCAGCGGGAAGGTAAACCGTGTTTCTGTGCGCTCTGGTTTCCATCATGGTGTCCCGTTGCGCCAGAAGCGGTTTAGTCCTGCTGGCCACATGGCCCAGAAAGCTGTCTGTGGACAAACGCCGGCTCCCTCAGCCTGAAAGCGAGATGAGCACCACAACCCCATAGTCGCCTTTGACTGGACTTAACTGTCCAGGGGTCCTTTACCTTTTACCTTTACTTTATATGAACTTCTACAAGAATCTTAATGTAGTCTTCCAGTCCTCATGGTTGCATAGACTATAAGTCCGAGGACCTATTGCTTTTGCAAACCATATCACGACAGTGAAGGGCTTTTAATGTTTAAGGAGCTCCAGGCTATTCTGGCTAGGCAAATTTGGTGCCGTGGACACTTATATATGCTGCTAGGGAGAAATTTACTCTGTCATTGTGTTCGTGTTATTATTAATGTGCACTTGCACTTTTAAAAATCTGATTTATTTTTCAAAACTGCTGCTTGCCCTCAGGGTGGAGGGCACATGATGGAAGTACAGCATAGCCACCACTGGAGAGCTTGATGTTCATTGGGGAAACGTGTTAATTATATAAAAAGTATGTAAATAAAAATATGCAAACCTGATGCAACTTTCCTGGCGTGAAATGCATTTGAAGTTATGCTCCAAAGCAATGAACAACTCCCTTTCTGGGCAGGATCAGTGACCAACTAAGATTGCTGGGGACTTCCAGACAGCAATTAGGGATTCCGTAGCGTCCATCTTTGTAAAGGAATATTTAGATGGGATGGAGAACCTGTGGCTTTCCTAACCATTGGTTGTGCTGACTGGTGTCAAAGGGAGTCCAACTGCATCCAGTGGCTCTTTGAAGACATCCATTTATCACCTTGAAAAATTTTCAGTTTTATTTTAATACTTATTATATTGGAAATACTTGCATGCAAAGACAGTCTGGCAGATTGAGTGGATGAGACCAATATTTAGTCCAATGGTCAATCAGGCGGTTTCTACATGTGCTGTAGGGGGAAGGGAGGGGCAGGTGAGGCTTGTCAACCAGGGAAGGTAGCTCCTAAACCTCTGCTGCCTTGTGGAATATCTCCAGGAGAAGAAAAGGCTAAGGAGTAAACCCTACAAGATCACTGCAGATGGTGTCAACCAGGGAAGGTAGCTCCTAAACCTCTGCTGCCTTGTGGAATATCTCCAGGAGAAGAAAAGGCTAAGGAGTAAACCCTACAAGATCACTGCAGATGGTGTCAGCAACCACGAAATTAAAAGACGCCTCCTTCTTGGGAGAAAAGCAATGATAAACCTAGACAGCATCTTAAAAAGCAGAGACATCACCTTGCCAACAAAGGTCCGTATAGTAAAAGCCATGGTTTTCCCAGTAGTGATGTATGGAAGTGAGAGCTGGACCATAAAGAAGACTGATCGCCGAAGAATTGATGCTTTTGAATTATGGTGCTGGAGGAGACTCTTGAGAGTCCCATGGACTGCAAGAAGATCAAACCTCTCCATTCTTAAGGAAATCAGCCCTGAGTGCTCACTGGAAGGACAGATCGTGAAAGCTGAAGCTCCAATACTTTGGCCACCTCATGAGAAGAGAAGACTCCCTGGAAAAGACCCTGATGTTGGGAAAGATGGAGGGCACAAGGAGAAGGGGACGACAGAGGATGAGATGGTTGGACAGTGTTCTCGAAGCTACCAGCATGAGTTTGACCAAACTGCGGGGGGCAGTGGAAGACAGAAGTGCCTGGCGTGCTCTGGTCCAGGGGGTCACGAAGAGTCGGACAAGAGTAAACGACGAAACAACAAACCCTACACAAATCCGGAGCGGAGTCTCTAAGACAGTTGGATGGCGCCTTGTGCACCTCCTTCCAGCAACTTCTGCAGCCAAGCTGGTGCCAAACGTATTGCTCTGCTTTCCTTCAGATCTCATCAGTGAGGCCATGAGACGGGTCTTGTCTCTGGGCCGCCCAGGATACTCATGGCACAGGCTTGCACCGCAGGGAGGTCCCTTTACTGCTGCTAACACAGCGCTTTGACTTCATACTCCATTGTCTCTCAAGGCAGATGGATGCCAACAGGAAATACCTATTTTCTATTTAAAATATCCAAGATTTAATTGAATTTGACTTATAGGGCCTTTAAAAAAATTGCTACCTGGTGACAGTACAACAATTCTTGTTCTTATTATGAGAAACAGTCGTCCTGATCGTGTGGGGCATCAAAGTATATTCTCTCAATACAAATAAAAATCTCAGAGTTAGGTGTGGTGGGGAAAACTTGACTTGCTGCTTCAACCCCCACGTCCATAATGTTTGGGCAAGGGATTGCAGAGCATATGCAGAAAGCGCTACATTCAGTTCCTTGCTTCGCCAGGTTGGTCTGGGAAAGAGCCCAGCCAGAAACCAGAGAGAGAGAGACCTCAATTTTCAGTAATAGATCAAGAGTAGCCAGCATGATGCCCTCCAAATGTTCTGGCCCACAACTCTTATCATCCCTGAACTTTGGCCATGCTGGCTGGGACGGGTGGGAGTTGATATCCAACATCTGGAGTCCATCATTGCTGGCTACCCTGGGATAGGCAATATTTGAAGTAGATGCGCCAATGAACTGACTCAGCAGATGGCAGCATCCTGTGTTTCTAACCTTCTCAAAACGGTCTGCCAGGAACTCTGCTTACCTCTAAGAATATCCCTTAGTCAGCTTTCTCTAAGGTCCACACACAGCTTTGTGCTTCTCCTGTTTCCTTCCCTAGAACTGTGCTCAGGTGATCTCTTGAATTCTCTACCCCATTTGTGAACAGCAGAGTTGGGGTGTTTCTCCTGCGAGAAGAGAGAGATCATGGGCAAGGAGCTTACCTTTAGCATTGGCAGTAGCACAGCTTCTTTCTCCCCCCGCCCCCCAGTCATCCTTCCACAACCTGGCAGACCCTACAGGTCTTTTGTCTACAACTCCTCTTAGGCCCACCAGCCTGTTAGAACTTGCAGCCCCCCAAAAATCCAGAGGACAGCAGGTTGGGGAAGGATGCCCTCTGTTTGTCACAAGTGGCGGCAGCGAATTTGTTGACAAGGTGGCAGCCATTAGCATCTTCCACAATGCCCCAGACTAGCATCGTTCCAGCACGTGGCGGTGGTTGGGAGGACAGCCGTCATGAAACAATGAGAAGGTCAGGAAAACATATTTTGAGAAATTTCAACTTTGCTGTAATTTGTGCCAACCATCTGCACTACCTCTCTCTCTGCCTTTCCCAATCATAGAATCATGGAATTGTAGAGTTCGAAGGGATCCCATGGGTCATTTATTCCAACCCCCTGCAATGCAGGAATATAAACTACAGTGGTACCTCAGGTTAAGAACTTAATTCGTTCTGGAGGTCCGTTCTTAACCTGAGGTATCACTTTAGCTAATGGGGCCTCCTGCTGCCACCGCACCGCCACTGCACAATTTCTGTTCTCATCCTGAACATAGCTGTCAACTTTTCCCTTTTCTTGCGAGGAATCCTATTTGGAATAGGGGAATTTCCCTTAAAAAGGGGGAAACGTTGACAGCTATGATCCTGAAGCAAAGTTCTTAACCTGAGGTACTATTTCTGGGTTAGTGGAGTCTGTAACCTGAAGCGTCTGTAACCTGAAGCGTCTGTAACCCGAGGTACCACTGTAAAAGCATCCATGAAAGACTGCCACCCAATCTCTGCTTAAAATCCTCCAAGGATGGGAGAGTCCACAACCTCCCAAAGAAGACTGTCAAACAGCTCTCAGCCATGTCCTGCCTAGTCTTCTTTCTTCTTCCTTTCTCTGCCAAACGGGGTCTTCATCCCTTCTTCTCTAAAGGTCCAGTCTGCTGAGCGCTGGCTGCTATGGGGAAGGGGCCCTGTGACTCAGTTCGCCTGCGTTCTTTGGGAGGGAAACTGGTCCAAGCAGTTTGTCTGAGGAGGCTGAATGTTGGGGAAGA